GTTTGAGTCCTTGGGCAGAGCCGCAGAAGGAGACAGACGGATCTCTTTTAGCGGGCCATTATTAAGCCGAGAGGGCTCCAATACTGGGGAGCTTAATGATGAACAAAAATTAGTCAACCTATACTCACGATCTGTTGATTTGGGTAAAAAGAGTTTGAAATTTTTTAAATAAAAATTTAAATTTAAATCTTATAAATAAAAAAATAAATATGAGAAAAATTTCTTCATATAGGGTTCGAGATAGTTCGATTCTAATTATTCAAAATCTAATGTGATTTATGGATATTATAGATTAATACAAAATAATAATAATAATAATAATAATAATAATAATAATAATAATCAGCCCACGGTTATGCACCATCAACACCGACCCCAGTCTCCAATTCCCCACGAATCCACGATATTTGGTTGTCATGTCATCACATGTCACCACTCACCACCCCACTCCCCACTCCCCACCCTAATATATATTGAAGCAAGAAAATTCAATGACAACTACCATTAACGATTAATGTATTGAAGAAAAATATATACCACTAGTGTTTAAGTTTGAAAGGAAGACCAAGAAAAAAAGAAGAATAATTCTTGTAGGGAGAATTATTAGATTAGGGGAAAGCTCCCTTTCTTCCAATTTAATAAAAGTATTTAATTTTACATAATTCAAACTCTAAATTATTTAAAATATTTTAAAAAAAAATTATATACCTACAACAAAAACTAAGCCAGGAGTGGATTTATATTTCTATTTATCTCTTCTTTTCTAAAGAGATAAATAACCATTGAGTCTTTTTTTTTTTTTTTGGAGATAATATAGAAAATTATATCATTTAAGATGTCATAAAATACATCAGGAAGATGCAGTGTTGTCCAAAATAAACTTATATATACGGTGGGTTAAGGACTTAGGTGCCCTATCAAGCATCAAGTATCAAGCCAGTAGAAAAGACATGAATATCTCATACAGCCTGAGTCACCCAATCCGCAACACAATATTTGGATGAAGGATTTGTTTAATTTTTTTCCACGCTTAGTAGCGGGTAGGTATACCATTAAAAATTTAATTGCCCATAACTTTGGTGAACGACCCAACCAACGAAGCTGATGTCTTGGGTGAATATATCATATGGTTTGGGTAAAACTTTTTATTTTACAGTCTAATTATATCATATTACAAAATAAAAATTAATATAATTTAAATTACACAATAAATTTTTTAAATAGTGGATATGTAAAAAATTTATTTTTTATAAAATTAAACAAAATTATTCATTAAATAATATATAAAGCTATATAAAAAAATTATTTTTAAATTATTTGTTATCAGAATGAAAGAACAGGTATTGGGAGAACTTTCTCATATAAAGTTCAACTCGATTTGATTCTGAATTATTTAGAGTCAAATGTGATTTCTTAACACCAAAAAGTTAGTACCAAAAAAGACTTTGGTAGTTGCATTAAGATCTGAATAAGTCTTGGCAGAAAGATAATATTACTGTCTGAATGTCCTCAACTGATAATGATGACATTACATGGATGGTTGTTGTCATATGTTAAGAACCATGTGTTTCTGCAGCTGATAAGATGCATATTACAAAGCAACCACGACCCTTTCCACTTTCTATTACTAGTAACTTTCTGCACCTAAGTTAAATGTAGTAATAATTCTTAATCTTAACCCAATTTGACTTGGCACGGGCACATCATCTACTCCTTAATAATTAAATTTCCAAAATCTTTGGAAGAAACCATAATAGAAAGAAATTAGATTCAGCTAAGTCTAGTCTCTCCTTTTTCTATCCTCTTGATCTTCAACCGGAAACAATGGAGAACGAAAACGGATCGGCGAAAACCACCGGGAAAGTTATTAGATGCAAAGGTTTCTTTTTCTTCATCCCCCAAGCCTCCTCAAATTAATGCTCAGCTATACTTTATATTCTCATGATTCTATTGTGTGTGTGTGTGTGTTTTTTCTTTTTGCAAAATATATACATGCAGCTGCAGTGTGCAGAAGCCCTGGCACAGCACTGGTGATTGAGGAAATTGAAGTTGATCCCCCAAAAGCTTACGAAGTTCGCATCAAAATCCTATGCACTTCACTCTGTCACTCTGATATTTCCTTCTGGAAACTAAACATCCAGCACCCATTCGCCGTTTTCCCCAGAATTTTTGGACACGAAGCTGTCGGGTAGGCAAATCCATCCATATTCTTCAAATTTCTTTGATTTAAAATTTTTGGTACATCAGTTTTGAAGCGGGGACCTCCAAACTCGAAGGTCTCAGATTAATTCTGCCCGTAAATCTAAATTTTTAATTATATGATGATTTGGGGTTTTTTTTTCTACTTGAAGAGTTGTTGAGAGCGTAGGGGAGAATGTGGAGGAAGTGAAGGAGGGGGATTTGGTGCTGCCGGTGTTTCAACCGCACTGTGGAGATTGCAGGGACTGCAAATCCCCAAAGAGTAACGCTTGTAGGGGTCTTCCAAAGTTATATGACAAGATGCCGAGGGACGGGACCAGCAGGTTCCGGAGCATCAACGGGGAGGTGGTGCACCATTTCTTGTTCGTGTCCAGCTTTGCCGAGTACACAGTGGTGGACGCCGCCCACGTCGTCAAGATTCAGCCGGATATTCCTGTGGAGAAGGCCTGCTTGCTTAGCTGCGGGGTGTCAACGGGTTAGTTGGAAAATATATATATATATATATATACACATATACGGACACACATCTCACTTATTCCAGCGGTATTTTCTTTTAAATTTTTTATTAATGGGTTAATAAAGATAATTATTTTTTATTTTTTATTTTATTTCATTCGCATATCATATCATTTGAATTTAAAATTTTTTATTTTTAATAAAAAAAATTTATTATTAAAATATTTAAATAGTTGACTATTTTAACATATTATAAATTGAAAACTAACACAAAAAAATATTACTATCTAATTTTATCATAGAACAAGAAACTAGCTTCGCACATGAACTTGTATTTCTAGCTCAATTGATACAGTACGTTCCATTGGTACATATTTTCATATATAAGATGCATTGAACGCAAATTCTTTTAATGAAAAGCAGAACTAATACTGTCACAATAATTTTTTTTGGCATGTGGACCTCACTTTTACCACTTGTATTTTATATAATTTGAACTCATTTGTTACTTTTTTTTCTTTTTTTTTTTGAACGGTATACTGTAAGGGGGTGGGGGTTCAAACCCCAACCTAAAGATTGAGGGGATGTACTTTTTGAGAAGGTTTAAAACTATCAAGTTACTAAACTCAAGTGCATTGCTTTTTTATCACTTAGTAATTAAGTTATTATTATATTAAATTTAATTTTAAATGATTATAAACTATTCTATTCAAATAATTTTATATTGTAATTAATAAAAATCTTACAATAATTATATGATATTAAATAAGAATTTATATAATAATAAAATAATATTATAAATTTATAATATGATATATTTTTATATAATCTTTAATAATATTATAACTGAAATATTCTCAATATAATAATTGAAGTTGTGGACTTTTACATAAAAATATAAGGATACTAATAAAAGTAATCAAATATTCATGATGAATAAGTATGGAAATAAAATTTATTAAGAATATTTAAATAATTAAAAAAGATTAGCGCCACTTGTTCATTCAAGTCATCGCCTTGTAGAATAACAATTTAGTGAAAATTATGGTTATTGGTAAGCAAAATACTACCTGTTCCGCTGTGTTTTGTTTGGTGGTCGACGTAACGTGAACTTGATTCAAGTCTTTGCTCCAATAGTCATTTTCCTGGTTTAATAATGGCGGGTTTTCATGTGGGGAACAGGGGTAGGGGCAGCGTGGAAGGTAGCGGATGTTGAAGAGGGCTCCACCGTTGCAATCTTCGGTCTCGGAGCTGTTGGACTCGCGGTAATTATACATAAACCCAATTGCAAGAAACTGTAAAAAGTTCTTATTTTTGATTCGTTCCCATGTGCTGTGCTTAATAGGTTGCGGAAGGAGCAAGGTCACGTCGAGCTTCAAAGATTATAGGAGTCGATTTGAATCCTGAAAAATTTGAGATTGGTAAAGTTACTCAGCGCTTGATCTTGCAACCTCAACTTCAAATAATTGTGAGGGACTGGCTTTAATGTCTCCTTTGGCAGGAAAAAAGTTTGGGATAACTGATTTCATCAACCCTACTGCATGTGGGAACAAAAAAGTCAGCGAGGTTGGTATATATTCAATGCTGGCGTTGTGTTTGTTGAAATGTCTAAGAGAATAATTTAGTTGGTTATGGGTTTCATTCCCCCAATCATATTAGTCAACTAGTAATGAAAAATTCATTTTGTTTTGGTGTGGAAAGATCAAACTTCAGAGTGTATTGGGTTTCAAACTGTCAATCTATATTTGGGGATTGTTATTTATTTTCAGGTGATTAAGGAAATGACAGATGGGGGAGCTGATTACTGCTTTGAGTGCGTTGGGTTAACATCACTGATGGAAGAAGCTTTTAACAGTAACAGAGGGGTAGGTTTCCTTCTCTTTCTCTTGTTCTTTAATCTAATAGACATGATTTATGTTACATGGACCCGGAATCAAGTGTTTGTCTTTCATGAAGCATTTAATTAGTTTTCTGTTTCTTTGTTTATATTCCTTAACTGTCCAAGATTCAAGAGTCAAGAGTTAAAATTTATATGTATGTGTACATTATACACACGCACACAAAGCTAGTAAAACATGATTTTGCATTTACCTTTGATCTTCTTGCAGTTCAAGTTTCTAGTTTCCTTTCCTGTTTTTATACACATTTATTTTCTTGACGGTTCTTCAAACATCTCATGGGTTGTTTGATGGGATCAGGGGTGGGGCAAGACAGTAATTCTGGGAGTGGACGTGAATAGCCTGTCGTTACCTCTGAACCCTCATGAGCTTCTACAAGGCAGAAGTGTCACTGGGTCACTTTTTGGAGGATTGAAACCTAAATCCGACATTCCCTTCCTTGTTGAAAAATACCTGCACCAGGTAATTCATATCTACTTCGTTCTATGTCAACCACACTTCTAATGATTATTTGAGAATCACATATAAAAGCTCAAATTCAGTAGAAAAAAACACAAGGGATATAGTATTCAAATATGATCCTCCTAAATTCATAGTCACCAAACTTGCTTGCGTCCTGCATTATGCAAACTTTGGCATTTTTCAATTTGAATATATATAGAACTATTAAAGCATGAGCCATGAGTTTGATAAGAAAATCAGATGTCATATTTTTTTAAGTAACAAATTGCTCGCTTGCTTGTAATGGCTGATTAAACTACAGGAACTCAATTTGGAAGGGTTTGTAACGCACGAAGTAAGCTTCCAGGATATTAACAAGGCTTTTGAATTGCTGGTTCAGGGGAAGACCATCCGCTGCATCATTTGGATGGAGAACTAAATAATAAAGGAAATTGATGGAATACCATTATTACCAAGGTTTTACTTTGGTTAGAAGTTCATATTGAAAGCGTGTATTTTTTTTGTTTTTTTGTTTGAACATTGGGGAATTTTAGGGGGAAGGAGGAGATTTTACAGTCTTCTTGCCATGTTCATTTGAACCTGGGTCATGGCCAAGGTTTTGGTGCACTTTTGCCAGCCCTACCAGCTTTAAAAAAAAAACAAAAAAACCTAAGATAATTATCATTATTCTAATGAACTTAAGCAACATAAGAAAAAAAAAATCGTGTGATCCAATAAGTGAATATCAAGAAGGAAAAATCCATTTCAAAATTTCAGATCAGTCCTCGTATATTAGAAAACAAATGTTATGTGTTTCTTGTTGATATAGTTGCATAGAATCCAATATCCATGCGGTATATCCTTTATGGTTTTAGAAAAGAAGACAAATTAATTTCTATGAGAAAACACAAAGAGTCTAGTATATTGCACATTCCAAATTGTAAAATACTTTTGGGAAACACGAGAACCTCTACCAAGAGAAATTGGAAACCATGGGAGGTTAGTAGAAATTCTGGTGTATCCTCAGAACACCGTTGATGTGGTATTTTAGGTCAATTAGAAACCATCACCTTTGTTTTTTTTATTAGGTGATTGATGAGATGTAAAAAAAAAATAATAATAATAACTAAAATGATATTTTTTAATTGACCCTAAATATCATTTCAACGGTATCTCAAGATACATTAGAATTTCTTAGGAGGGTAGATTGCAGTACCCTACCATCCTAGAATTTTATAGGGGTGAAAGACTTTTCTTAAATTAATATGTAGTTCAAAACAGACCTTTAAACCCAATGATTCGACCTCAAAACCCAATGATTCGACCTCAAAATTTTGAAGTGTTTGAGGTTTCAATCTCCACCATCTTCCAAATTGTATACTGTTAAAAATATATATATAATTCAATTTTCAAAAAAAAAAAATGTAGTTCCAACTTAGGGTATCAATTTTTCCTCTAATTAATGCGTTAAATGATGCAAAATTATTGGCCACTAACTTAAAGGACCGCGCAGTACTAGGGAAACTTATTGTTTTGTAGGCGAGGGGATCCCTTGCCGCATCCACATGTAGCGGGGAAACTTTGACTGGAATAAACTGGGCGCCACACTACCTTTCCTACATTGAATTGAAAAAGCATAAATAGTTCTTATTATCATATTATCCCCAAAAATAGATAAAATATGCAGTTTATGATCTCCACTCTTTTCTTGACTAATCCTTGTCGTTACTGTTTTCAAGTAAAAAGGATAAAGACAAGGCAAAAGAGGAAAGCATTTATTCAAAGCATCAAAACCTTCTAATGGAATTTGAAATAAGACGAGGCATCAAGGTCTTTTGAACAATAAAAATGGGCACACAGAATTAATAGGGCAAACTAAAAAGGGGATAGAGTAAATCTCAGTACATCAAATATTCAATAAGACAAGAATGACTAAATATCCTTTAATAGCAGTAGGGAAATTAGGAAACAAGCATCTTCTCCAATCAAAAATATATAAAGGAGAAGTTCATTGAACCCTAATTTGCAGTAGAGTATGGTCCATGCTACTGCTGTGGTGGTTGTTGTTCCTCGTCACGCTTGGGTGCTTCTTTAATCTCATCTGCTCCATCATCCTGTTTCAAAAGCATAAATTTGTTAGAGATCAGGTCAACAACACAATTGACATATTCAAATTAGCAAGAAAAGGAGCTGTTAAATTAGAAATAGAATCAAATTTCAAACCTGCATATCGGAGGTCCAGAGAGTAAGATTGTCACGAAGGAGTTGCATAATCAGAGTGCTGTCCTTGTAAGACTCCTCTCCCAGGGTGTCTAACTCAGCAATTGCCTCATCAAAAGCCTGGTCAAAGCAAGGAATATCAGCAGATTAGGGAACATAAGTATACAAACACCTGGCGGAAAAGTGCAATCAGGTCATATTGTTCGATTCTATTCCATCATAACATGCATCTTTTCATTTCAAATCGTCTGCAGCCAGGCACACAGTAGTGTAATTTCAAATATTCTCTTGACATTATGTTCCTTACTGCATTCAGATAGCATAAGTAGAGGATGCTGAATTGAGATTCTCTAACCTGCTTGGCAAGATTGCAAGCGCGATCAGGGGAATTAAGAATCTCATAGTAGAACACGGAGAAGTTCAGGGCCAATCCCAGGCGGATCGGGTGTGTAGGAGCTAGCTCTGCGTTTGCAATATCCTGCATACGATCAGACACGAATTAGAACAGAAATATCGCAACAAACTTAAGCATTTGGTGAGATATTCAGCAGAAAAGAACTCAAACAACACGAATAAGAAAAAATAATGTTCCAAGAGCTAGTAAAATAGCAAACAAAAGTTAGAATCCGGAAAGAAAATACAGAATGCACACAGAGATCGAATAGATCTCCATTAAAAACACCACAAACCTGAGCGGCTTTGTAAGCAGTAAGAGTGCTCTCAGCGGCCTCCTTACGATCTGCTCCGGTCTTGAACTCAGCCAGGTACCTATGGTAATCTCCCTTCATCTTGAGATAAAAAACCTTAGAATCACCCACAGTAGCAGTGGGAATGAGTCTCGAGTCGAGAAGCTTCAAGATCCCGTCGCAGATCGAGGAGAGCTCAGTCTGGATCTTGGCCCGGTAGTCGCGAATCACGGACACGTGGTCCTCATTGCCACGGCTCTCCTCCTTCTGCTCGATGGAGGAGATGATGCGCCAGGAGGCACGTCGCGCGCCGATCACGTTCTTGTAAGCCACGGAGAGAAGGTTCCGCTCCTCCACGCTAAGCTCCTCGTTTTCGACGGCGGCGGAGACTTTCTCCATGAACTCCACCATCTCCTCGTAGCGCTCAGCCTGCTCGGCCAGCTTGGCCATGTAAACGAAATCCTCGCGAGATGAGGTTGCGGCGGCCATTGTTGATCAGAATGTGCGAAGGCGAGAGACACAGAGAGGAAAGGGAAGGAAAGAAAGAAGGGAGCAAAGGGAAGACGTAAATTTTTTTATTTTTTAAAGATCTGAGAGTGAAGAAAGGGTATGTTGAGCGGGGGAGAGAGAGGAGAGGAAATGCGGAGATTGAACGCGAGCCGTTCGATCTAAAAAAGAAAGCTGGCAAACACGGGGTGTGGGTTTTTTGCATACAAAAAGGTAATTGCATCATGCCTTTATTGGTGGTGGTGAATTCTGATTTTTTTTTTTTAAGAAATTGAATTTTGAAAATTATGTTCGGTAGATGGGCTCTTCACTCTTGGGTTGCATCACTTAACTGACTGTTGGGCTTGCAGCCTAAATTCGTGGTCCAGCTTTATGACAAGCTTGGTAATTGGAATAGATTATTGGTTTTTTTTTTTGGCTATTTTATTTATTTTTTTTATATATTTAGGGTGACTGAGATAAGAAAATTTTGGCACATAAACAACGGGCTGGATTTTTTTTTTTTAACACAGAGAAATCTAGAAAAATGGAAATAATTTCATTGTTATTATAGCGAATGAAACTCTGATAAATACCAAAAGTTCAATGCATCTAAACAAAGGCAATTAAAGTTGTAGGTGCAAGAGCTGGATTTTTTTAAACCAATGAATAAGAAAAAGTTTCATAAAGGTACAAGAAATTTATTAAACATTTTTAATAAAAAAA